GGTAGTTCAGATCTGTGGAAATTAGGAGTGGCATGTTATCTTTTCCGAGTTTAGAAAACCAAGGGAAAACAGCGTCTTTTACCGTGTTTTCTGAGAAGACGTCGAGGAAGAATACGTTAAAAGAGATGTAGAAGAATGCGGTGAAGCTGGAGAACAAAATTATGGTGACAATGACAGTGGATAACAGTATGGTCCAGCTACTTGCAAGGTCAGCGTGGTCAAGAAAGCAATGAGGCGAACCTTCTATTCTTCTCATAATGTCGAAAGTCCGTTGACTTATCCGAGCATTTGAACACTAAGTAATTCAATCCACTTGGAACTTTCGAACTACGCGTGTTCAGCGTCGGAATACGTACAGTACCAAGGTCAGTCAAGGTAAAGAATCCGAAGAATACGGCTTTGAGCTCCTTCCCTTTTTTATAATTCCGGTTGGATTTTTTAAAAGTTGGATATACCGTCAACCATCAAGCTGTGCAAGGTTGAAAGTTCAGAAATTTTCATACTGAAACATCTGGATTCTGAGCATATCCCAAGCTTAACGGACATTTATTCCAGTTCTGAGAAGACAGTGGTGTAATCAACGAGGGATCTTGGACTGCAGTGGCTGCTTTCATAGTCCGCCGGCGTGCTGGCGTGTAGGCGTGCCGAGGCAATGTTTAATCTTGTCTCTCTTTGTTTACAGTCCTTCGAAGGGCTGACCGACAAACTGCCTCCCTCCTCCCCCTAGCACTGCCTCGGCACGCCAGCACGCCGGCACGTACGCCGGTAGGAAAGCAGCCAGCGAGTGCTCTGCAAGGATTCTGCCGATTTAACTGCGAGTAAGTGCTTCCTCTGTGAAGTTGCTCGGAGTACCATACTCGGCTTATCCTATTAAACTGGCCACCTTTTCGCCTACCAGTCCAATTTAACTGCTGCAATGCACGCTATGGAGCCAGCTAGACAAAAAGCAGGGTCACTAGCATTACGTCCCGACGTGATTCCCGTTGCTGGCCGTCGCCGGTTGCCCCATATCCTGCCTGATTACAAGGATTCCACGCCGTCCTGTAGGATCGTGGTATCGGCCTGCGAAGAAAATAAAGTTGAAATGAAAACAAGAATGCGCTTCTACCGAGACTGATCTGAGGATCATTGAACAGCGAACAGTATGCCTTGCAATTAATTGGTAATTTGGCTTGATGAGGAATAAAAGATGATGATTCCCTAAGATATACCTCGCACCTTACAGGATCTCCCACAAATGGAACACTAACTTGTAATCAAATTGGCCATAAAGGGTCGTTTATCGGCTCCATGAATAATTTCTCAGACGTACTTCGTACGAAATATCGCTTTTGCGGGTTATTTGAAAGATGGTTCGAATTGCCGATTGGCTGGATTTCCGGTTAGACCATTTCAAAGCACTACAAAAAGAGAACTCTGACGAGTGATTGAGCATAAGTTGATTTTTTAAGCTTCAAAAAAGAGGGACTGTCCATTGAACGGTACTGATCATGGAACAGCGGGTGTGCGTCGTTTCGTGCGATTCTAGGTGCACGCGGCAAATTGCGCGGCGAAATTCGGTGCGATTTGGACGACTGCAGCGTTTATCATAGGGGCCCAAATTTGGAGTAAAGTAGGTTAGTATTGCCCGACCTTACTAAAGTACTCCACTTCAAGTTTGTGCCCCAAATGATAGGCGCAGTTGTTTGAATCATCGCCAAATTCGCCGCGCACACCCGGAATCGCACGAAACGAAGGTGCCCTTGGAACAGCACATCATTGGCTGCTTTCATAGTCCGCCGGCCGGCCGGCGTACACGAGGCAGTGCTAGGGGGAGGAGGGCGGCAGACGGTCAGTTGAGGGGTTGAAAACAAAGAAGAACTAGATCAAAAAACAAACAACCAGGGGCTGTACAAATGGTTTTTGATCTTGTCTCTCCTTGCTTACAGCCCTTCAAGGGGCTATCGACCGTCTGCCGCCCTCCTCCCTCCTAGCACTGCCTCGTGCACGCCGGCCGGCCGGCGGACTATGAAAGCAGCCATTCCGGGAACTACTGCTCTGATGGTGAGGAAGGAAGAGAGATTAACAAATTGATTCAACCACTTGTAGGCACTGAAATATCTGGAATGTGTAGAGAAATCGGCAAAATAAACTAAGAATAGGGCCCAGCCAAAGCAAACCCTCAGATTCAAAAAATCCGAGAGTATATGGAAGGATACATTTTAAAATCCTCTGCGAGTGGATTCTGGAGGTATACTAGAGCTGCCTATCCTCGATAAGATACATAAATACTGCAGATTGCAGAGAACTTGAGAAGGGCAGAAGGATTGTAAAGATTTCAAACTTTCTAATCTATCATCTCACCACCTTGACCTTGATGCCCTTCAAAAATAGCCGATCACTCGAGATCGCAAAAAACGTAAGCGACATGGTAAAGCTATTTCGATAAGTCATCGAATCGACTTCGTGGAATTATGGCAAAAAGTTAATATAGAAATAGCCTCCATAGACTCCTTACTACGCATTGTTGACAAAAGTATTTCGAAAAAAGAGCTTTTCATCGAATTAAAGTTGTGGGTCTTGACCAGTAAAGACAGCGAAACAAGAAACATTCATAATACTATTTTATTCCAATTTGATGACAAAAAAATATGTACATGATTCTGAAATAATACAACATTCTGAAATCGTTACCATGCAAATTAACAACAATATTTCTGGGATGGACTACGCCAGCCCAGACATACATACAAGCACACACCGGACACATCGTTCACAGAAGGGTTTGCACAGATAATACTATTTTCGTCGACGAGGTATATCACATAGAAGTATAGGCCTTTCGTGGGTTGTGACACCCAAACGGAAACGGTCACGATAGCTCACATGAAGACGGGCTTTTTTTTTTGATGTTAGCCCTGTCTTCATGAAGGACTCCTATGCGATGTCGATTAGGCGGGAATGGCGATAGCTGTCCAGATGAATGCGGGAGCGTCTCTTGGGCGTCACGAAGTCTTCTATCCGACGCTCATGATCTTGGTAATTTCTGAAAAAAAAACGTATGTAAATGAATTATTAACCTTCATTCTTTCTTTCCCTTCGTCTGATAACCCTATTACGCATACAATCAGCTGCTTTTCCATCCCGTCAAACTCCCTAACCTTTTCTCAGCTTGTCCTTTCCCTTACAGCGCCGTGCATCGAGCGCCGCCGCTTGATCATGAGGAAAGTAAACTTCTTCCAAAAACTTGCACATCACTACCCCATAGGAAAAGGTTTTCTATGCAGAATCATGGTTTAATGAAAGCTGAGAACGCATGACAATCCTCTTGAACAGATTCTCAGCAGCACAAAATATTATTGGCACTGTTCACACCGGAACAATGCTCCTGGAAGGGATACGTCTAAGAGATTGTCTACGTCGTGTAATGAACGTGGCCTCACATCAGTGGCTGCTTTCATAGTCTGCGGGGAGCCGGTCGGGGACTACTCGTTTGGCGGTATCGACCAAGGTTCAGTTGTAAACGAGGGGCAAGCGCCGCACTCGGTCGCTCGCCGCTCGCGGGTCAAATCACGGATTATGAAACCAGCCAGTTGCTCGATTTCAGGGCGTGCTTCACTCAGTATGAGTTCGTTCCATTGAGTATTTTTTCAACAAGGCTTTGGGAGCCCCAAGCAAGCAGGCTTTATACATAAGAGCAAACCAATCCATAAATTTCCGATGAAGTTGAGTCTAAGCTCAAAAGCGATTGAACTTACTTTGAATTTCTATTCTCATCGGTTTCCGAGAACTTAGTGGTGTGTGAAGAGCTGTAAGAGTGTCTCTTATCGGCAATCACCATCGGGGGCATATCGTAGATTTCCGACCAGTCGGAAGCACTCCATTGCACGAATGTCAATGCCACCGGTAACTTCTCTGGCATCACTGAGTGATGGGTGATAAGCATTTGGAGCGAAGGGAAATGCTTTTCACAACTCTGCAAAAAGCTATTTAGAATTCGATTCTGAAAATGTTTTGAGAGTTGTTAACTACCAAAATTTCCAGACATGTTTCAAATAATTCATCTCCCTGTCTGCAACGCTTGTTATAAGATAATGTATTACGTAGACTGCACACTCAATCCAAAACGGATGGGGCTCAATACGGTATTCACGCCACTGCCTTCCCTTGGTGCGAAACATGACGCAACATTCTGGATAATCAAGTGTTGTGGCCTTGTGAACGTTCAGCTAACGTCATTTACCATAATCCACTAAGTTCTTGGATGAATAGTTATGCTAATAATTGGTGTCACGCACACAGACCAGAAATTGCAAATCAGTCTCCTCAATCGAAACTTAAGGCTAGTGCATAAATTACTATGTAAAGGTAAGATCGTGATCATGGCACTCTTTTTTAAATTCTTATCATAAAAAAAAACAGGCCAATAGCAGCAAATGATATACCTAAGCTTTCTTACAAACACAACGGGAGCCTAACATATAAGTAATTCTACCCGCCCAACTCCTCCTCATTCCGAGCAGTTTGGAACAACAGGCGGAAAGCTTTGTATTTGAGTTATCCTTAATGACTGTGTTAATGATCTAAAAGGCTAGAGCCAATAAGCCGAATTTAGAAAAAATTGGATGCTCAGTCATTGCCACACTGAGTCGCAGCTTGGAACGAGAAATGAGAAAGAAAGGTGAATGGAATTCTTGTGTCAACTTCCTTACTAAAATATCAACGTAATGGGTTCAGTCCTAGCTTACAGCACTTGATACATACCAGCGTTCACTGCCTGACTTTCCTACCTTTTCATCAAAATGTCACCATAATATCATTACTTCCTTACAAGAATGCTGTAATCATCTCTATAGCAAGACTTCGGCTAACCTTAATCCGATATCCATGTTGATTTCTAACAATCAGGTAGTGAGATATACATGCGGGATTGTGTGTGGGCGGTACACGAACGCTCAACGCCAGACATCGCCTTTTCGATTCCGAGTATCGCACCACGAAAGCGCCTTCGGCTTGTGCAAGCAGATTTCGTACTAATAGTTCCCTGAAAAATGTTGATTCTAACAAAGAAAAGTTGTAAAGTAACAATTAGGTCAAGCATTTAACAAGCATTACGGGCGGTGCTGCGTCATAGGTGTATCCGATCGCATTTATGATCTTACTGTAAGGTGGTGAACTGTATTTGATTGTAGCGGTCGAGTGAAATCATAATGTTTTTTGTCGTCAATAGCAATCATGGATCAGTCACCTCGAATCTGTAGTCTCTGTTCAGCTGCTTCACTCCCAGTTCTCGAAAAAACATTTTTCCTAGCTTTTCAGGCTACTTCCACTCCAGTCGTGTGATGGTATTCACCTGTGAGCGGTCCATTTCATGCTGTGCAGCTGTTGATTTGACCCATGATGACTTTGCCATCACTGGTCATCCGCAGATCGTTAATTACCCCCATTTAATTGCTCATCTCATAAGCAATTAACTAGAGCGTGCACATCACAGATAAGTCCTTCACAGACGTAACGACAATTCAAACGTAGCACCCAGAAGTTACATCAACAAAAAAAAAGTTTCTTACCTGGATGGCAATTTTACAAAATAGTTGACATTTTCCAATTGAGCTTGAAGCGCCTCGTCTACTGGATAGATCCATTCTCCAAGCTTTTCATCAAACACCAACATTGGCTCAGCGCTTTTTTTCTCTTTGGGGGGAATGGACTCTTCAGGTACGGGCTGAAATTGAACAAAATCATATGAAGCAATCAATGGCATCAACACAAAAACCTACAGGAGTGATTTTTGGTAGTAGTTCATCACGTCGGATATCTTTTCGTGGTGGCGAATCGATACTGCTCATCTGAAACTGTTCAATATGCTTATAAATATATGAATATATTTATATATCAGTTGCACAGGAGGGAATAAACAGGGGGCATGAGCGTCGTATCGCACTTCTACGTATCTCAAGATTAAGTATGTACGGCTTTACAATTGATTTTAATTATAATATTATTTTATTTAAAGACATAATCCGATTTGAATAGCTTATGAGGTATCCTCCTAGGATAAAGTTCTGGCCCCTCAGATACCATACCATGGCGCTGTCAGTTCAGAAAAAAGGGCTCAAAAATTGGCCCGTGTGTATCCTCGGACGAGTTTACCGGCATCATAGAGGTTGCAGCGTTCACGAGGGAACTCATTAGGAAGTTCAAACAACTTGTATGGCGACAGTGAAAGGCAATTCCGTACAGTTTCGGCTTGATGTAGACAGTGTTTTTCGCGATTGCAAAAATCAAAATCTCGTCTCAATACCTATTCCATGTCGTTCCTGTCATTGCAATCTCGTTCATCCCTATCTTAAGTACTTTTTAGGAACCTTATTTTCGCAAAATCGACGAATTTTCTCTCTTCTGTCACCACCGATGCACTATTCCCAACCAATGTTTCTGTTATTGTTGTTTCATCCACCTAAAAAGGGTATCCTAAAATTATCGTGAACTGGGCTTTTGGAGATGGTCGCTTGTCAAAAGACTTTCTTGGGTAAGCCAAAAATGCTAACGTGTACAGTGGTAATTACACCTGTGGCAACTTTATGACATATACCATTAATCTTAATTCTATCCTTTCTATTTAGTCATTTGATTAGCATAAATGTTACGTCAAGGCCCCCACTCGAATCTTGGAGAGAGGATTTCCGGCATGCCACCACATCGCAATGCAATGGCGTAATGTCATCTGAGATGATGTTCCCAGTTAATAATACACTGCTATATGACACATTCGGCCGTTGCGTAACACTGAGCGCCTCGTCCAAAATGATGAGTTAGATGATCTGCCGATAACCGTGTGACTAGTTATTAACAGATCTTCAACGACCATGGGCAACTGATAGATCGAGTTACCGTTTAGGTCGATACCAATCTGCAGATGTATCTCCTAGTATTACGGAATCCCCCTGGTACAGATGACGCCGTATAATACAGTTTAATCTCGATTTTGTATATCCTAAATCCCTCTTAGTAAACACCGTTCTGAGGGTGTTAGCTCTTACTCGGAACAGGAATTCATTCGTATGAATGATCCGGCATCACTAAGAAAAATGCCGAGGAACAGAAGAAACCTAATGATTGAAGAGTAAATTCATTGATAGAAAGGATATGTCACGGCGCGACTAGTCTGCGTGGAGCCACCAAATACAGTGCGTTTCATAATTATAAGGTCACCCCAGATTTTTGCGATTCCGGAGAAAGCAGCCAGAATGGAATTTTTTGGCAAACACTGGTAGATTCCTCGTCACAATGTACCTCCGTACTCAAATTTTGGTCGCAATATCTTTCACCTCAAATTTTTTACGAATTTTTTAAAGATAGTGTCGGCTTTTGCACCGTTTCATAATTATAAGGTCACCCTGAGGAAGTAAATGATTTATCAATGTTAATGACATATGTACAACAGTTAATAATCTA